GGGGGGATCTGCGAATGTAATTACTCGAGCCATCGAGGGTTCGAACCGAAACATTATCAAGGGCCGTTACCAACACGACGCCCGCGATTGCCCGCCGCAGTGATGGATGTTCGTTTGGTGCTCGGCCATACGGTGGGGAACACCCGGAACACCCGGAACACCTGCGGAACCTGCCGTGATAGTGAACCCGACCGACCCGCACCTGGGATGAGCTGCGCGCTGCTCAAGGAGAATGTGTGGGTAACGCTCCCGCGCAAGGCCGGAACTCGGAGGAGGACGTTTGCTTTGGGAACCCGGCGAGCTCCACCCTCTTGTCGTTCCCTCCCAACGAGATAACCTATGTCCATCGTTGATATTATAGACCGCTCTCTCGGCCTATTTGTAATCGCCCCTCTCCCACACCCCTCAAGGAGGCACCGTTCGCTGAGCTCCTCTCAAGGCGCAAGCAGAACGGACGAACGGACGGGCGAAAGCTGCTGAAGACCCAGCTCTCCGTATTTTCCTTGAGGAATCGAATGTTTTACGTAGGAAAATACTACATTGTTGAAGAGCGCGTACGTGAGCATTCCCCCCGGGTCTGCCGCCTGCCGCCCGTGTGCGCGCGAGTGGGTCGGTATACCTGGTCCAGGTGCCCGGAGCCCCGGAGCCTGCGCCCGCGGCGCGGAGCTACAGCCCGCAGGCAGGCCGAGCTGTTTGCCGAAGGTATAAAATGGCGCTTGGCGTGCCACCCCAGCCCAGCTTTGGCAAACGCCGGCCTGTTGTTGCTACTACCCTCCGCTCAAGGAGGGATGGAAAATAATGCACCGTACCCCTGCGAGCGCTTTCTCGCTCTCTCCCTCCCTTCTCCGTCTCCATTCTTTTTAATTTCAAGGTCAAACATTCTTGCAGCTCTGCGCGAGACGCGCGTTCGCTCAAACGTCCCCATCTTGTGTAAAGGTTCTTGTTTCTTTCTCCAAAACATATCTTCTTAAAAGCTTGATTTTAGCGCGAACCGTTTTAGGTGATTGGATCCATGCAACTTTTATCCGTAGAGTGTGTAAAAGTTATAAGTGACAAGTTAGTATTTCCCCGCTCGTGGTAGGGTTGTGGACGTGACTGGAAGGAGAAAAGGGGGAGGAGGGGGTTGAAGACAGGTGGTGCGTGCCGCCTTTCGAAATAAAAAAAAAAGTGTGCGCAGGTAGGCCTACACCGATCGTAAAGTGCAAATACCGCGTGGGTGGGTGGGAGCGGGGCGCGTGCGTACGTATGTGGGCTATCGAAGGGGTTGCCCTTTTGAAAGTGCGTCGCACACAGTCAGAGGAAGAAGAAGAAGAAGAAGAAGAAGAAGAAAACAACAAAAACAACCAATAAGAAGCCGCGAGGGCAGGGCAACCGTCGCGGGGTAAGGCAGGGTACGGCTGGCTGTAATTTATTAACGACCAATCAGAACGCGCGGCATTCCTCAGAATGCGCCAATGGCGCGTTGGTTTGGGAGCTAAATTGGAGGACGTTGGGGAGAATTATAGGCTGCGGAGGACCGGTGGCGTCGACCCCTCCCCCGCCTCCTTGTGCCCGCCTCCCTTCCGTCTCTCCCCCCTACCCCCTCTCCCACCTCCTCGACGTCCCCTTACCACTGAGCTTATATCCGATACCCCCCCCCTTCCCCCGCAGAGCAACCCC